CTGACAGACTGGTGATGTGGGATTTCTGGGTCAAAGAGCAAATTCACATACATTTTTAATACACAGTGATGAATTTCACCCTATTTGCACTGGGTGCACCAACCGCGGTGTATCGGACAGCCTGCCATCGGATAGGCGGGAGTTTCTTTTTAAGGAGAAATGTAATTAAATCAGCATCATTTACTGAAAAGACTGTTCTCTTCCCTGCTGCTTTGCAATGCCACCTTTATTTCAAGTGCACACCTATCCATGGGATTGTTTCTGTACTCTCTTCAATTCTGTTATCTATTTGCATCCAATATCATACTTATTGTCATTTTGTACTATATTTTAATACATGATAATTTCAATCTTTCTGCTTCATTCTTAAAAATGGGCTTGGCTATTCTTGACCTTCTGTATTTCCATCACTGACCATCTGCTTTTTGAGTTCCACAAAAATACCCCGCTGGGACCCTCACAGAACGGCAGCGAAAGCGCTGGACAGGGCGGGGAGAAGACACACCCTTACGCCGCTGAGTCTCTTAATCCATGTGGACTTGATACCCCTCAGATTAGAGTTTCTTTACAATGGTTAGTGTTCTGGTAGACATTCTGAATATCTTGTTCGACATATTTCTAAGTATTTGGTAATTTCCAATGCTACTGAAAGTATCTTTAAAAAATTCTGTCTAACATTACAGATGGTGCACAGAACTGCAATGGACTTCGTGTACTTTCTACATCAACAGCTCTTTTACATTCTAATACTTCAGATATAGAACCTTTGGAATTTTCTTCACAAAATTAGATTACCTAGGGATGATCTAATTTTAGATTTCTCCCATTCCAATATGTATAACTTTTCCTTCTTTCTGACTGCGGCCGCTAGGAGCTCTAGGCTACAATTATGAATAGAAGGTTCTGGCAGATGTGCCCACACCCAGTCCCTGTCCTGAAGGGGCAGCTCTCCACGCCTCCGCATCAAGGATGGCGTCTTTGGGAGCAACCTTCCCCTGGCCTTCACACTGCGGCCACCTTGCCTCGGAGACGCTGATGGCCTTTGTTCTGGGCGGGCCTTTCGAGAGCGCCGCCTCCTTCCAGAACGAAGGGCGGGTGACTCACTGTCCAGCGTAGTGTCCCCCCGCGACAGAGGCATGGTGGGTCTGCCTGCAGCCACTGCACAACAATGAAGTTCCCCAAGCCTGGGGACCCTCTTGTAACGTGCCCCCCGTACACACAGCGGTTCATGGCCCTCACCAGACCGCCCCGTGGGAGCCAAGGCCCAAGAACCTCGGCCAGGAGACGGAGTTTCCACGGGGCTGCCGATGTGAAAGCAGCCGCCCTCCGCCTCCGGCCCGGGAGTCCGAGGTCCCCTGCCAGTACCGGCGACCCTAGGGAGAGCTGACTTGTGAGCTGCAAGCAGCATCAAACCTCAGACCCCGAGGTTTCTCCTTGAGACCTGCCTGCCTGTTTCTAGTTTAAGGACAGCACCAGGGTGGGTGAGGGTTTGATAAACCGCCTCTCTACCTGCTGCACTCAGCACGTGGCTTTTCTTCTTTATTCCCTTCATGTGCTAAACTACCAATCTTCAAACATAAAATAAACCCTGAATTCCTGGAGTAGTCATTTTGGCCATAACTTTTTAAAGTAAGTTGTTCCATTTAGTTTACTAATATTTTTTAAAGGAATTTTTGCATCCATGTTTATCAGACTGGTAGTTTTCCATTCTTGTAATGTCTTTGTTTTTGGTTTCATGACTATACAGATGTCTCTGGAAGACTTCAAGACTGATAATCCTTCTGCAAAACTGATACATTTTTAATTTTCATCAACAACGTCATTGATTTGGATATTGTATGTTGGCCATCTCCCATTATTGGCTTCTAGTGGGTAGAGGCCAGGGGCGCTGCTAAACACCTTCCAATGCATGAGACAGCCCCACAGCAACAACTTATTTGTCCACCATGTCAGGAGCCCAGGAAACTTCCCAAACCACCTTTGACCAGTTCGATCAGTCACAGAGCCTTCTCCCTGGCACCACACCTATCTTTTTTTGTGTTTCAGTTGCATTTTTACATCTCCGGAAATAATAAAGCATAACACGCTGAAATGTGTATTTTCTTCCACCTACAGCATTCAAAAGCCTGCACAAAATTTACCTATTTTGATTTCTTTAAAATGCACGCTGATATGACAGCTGTCACAAAATAATCAAACAAAAGTGCTTCACATGTTAAAGACAACTAAGCACGGCTAGAGCCATTGTATGCAAAAAACTAAAACAAGCTTGTTGGCCCCCCAGCATTTCAGGCGACCCGAAGAGACCTGACGGTATGTCATTGTGAGCACTATGTTCTATGTATCGTCCAATAAACCAAGTTGGTTATTTGGGCCATTCAAACATTCGCTTGTCATTACTGCTTCCTTTGTTATGCTAAAATCTCCTATTATGATTATAGATTTGAGTACTTTTCCTGGCAGTTTTGGAAGTATTTATATATTTTAAAGGTGTTTCATTAGATGCATACAAACTTGGAATTTTTACTTACTGCTGTTTAATTGACTATTTCTTCTTCAGTAACTGTATTGCTTTACAGTCTAACTTTAATACAGATAGCATGGTTATTTTTTCACCCTTTTAATTTTTTAATCCTAATGTGTTTTTTAGATGTGTCTCTCGAGACACTAAAAAGCTGGATTTTAAAAACGCAATCTGACAACCTGTCGTTTATAGGAATAGTTCATGCACATTTATATGTAATTATTGCCATAACCGGGCTTTTTTCTTACTCAATACTTCCTCTTAGTCCTGCCTGTTCTTCGTGTCTGTTTACTCTCCTTTATTATGTACTTTTGTCCGAGCTCCCGTTACTCCCCTCCCCCTCCCCCACGCGAGCACTGGCATCACGTGGCACTGTGGTAAAATACACAGAACACTCTCGGACTGTCCCCCACCCCGACCCATCTCCACACTCCCGTCACCCTCCGAGCCTGAAACACCCATAAAACCCCTCCCCGCCCCGCTCCTGGCATCCGCCGTTCTACCTTGGATTAGCCTGCCTTCTCCAGGCACCTCGTGTGAGAGGAGTAATACGGTATTTTGTCCTTTTGTGACTGGCTCATTTCACTTATTATAAAGTCTTCAAGGTTCATCCATGATGTAGCTTACGTCAGAAGTTCCTTCCTTTTCAAGGCCAAATAACATTCCATTGTTCGTATAGATCAATTTTATCCATCCCTTCGTCATTGGATACTTCCGCTGCTCCTACCTTTCGCTGTGAGTAAGGCTACTGTGAACACGGGGGCACCGACACCTGCTCGAGTCCCTGCTTCTCAGGTCTTCTGGGCACGTACCTAGAAGCGGAGGTGCCGAATCACAGGAATTCTATGGCTAACGTAACACCCAACTGCTGTACCGTTTTCCACAGTGGCTGTTATTTCACGTTCCCACCAGCAAGGCACAGTTTCCAATTTCTCCACATCCTCACCAAGACTTTTTATTTTTTAAAAATAATAACCTGCCTGATGGGCATGAAGTCGAGTATCACTGCAGTTTTGACTGCGTTTCCCTAACAGTTAGTGAGGAGCACATATTCACGCACTCACTGGCCACATATATTATCTTCTTTGGAGAAGAACTTATTTAAATCCTTTGCCCATTTTTAATTGGGTTGTTTTTGTTATGTTGTGGGCATTTCTTTATGGATTCTGGATGTTCACCTGTATCAAGTAGGTGACTCACAAGCATTTTCTCCCAGACTCTGGGCTGCATTTTCACTCTGTTGAAAAGTATTCTTAGATGCACAATTTTGAGGAAGTCAAATTTGTCTTTTCTCTTGTCTGTTTTTATGTCATATCCAAGAAAGCGATGACAGATTCAGAGCTGTGGGGGTGTTTCTTCTGTGTTTTCTTCTAAGGGTTTTATAGTTTTAGCTTTTATGCTTAGGTTTTGATCCATTTTGAATCAGTTTTTGTATACGAGGTCTGGGAAGGGTCCAACTTCCTTTTTTATATACTTTACAAAATTGTTCTTTTAAAGTGATTATGCCAAGGATAACACGCATCCTCCACATCTGCCACGCTATCAACGAGTCCATGTGTGGAGGAGAGTGGACACGGAAGCCCGACTGCTGTCCTTCAAGGACCTACTGGCGAGGCTGGCCCTCGGCCGGTGTCTAGGAACCTGGATCTGCGGAGGCTGCCAGCCAATCCCTAAAGTGGTGAGTGGCTCACCGTGCCAACGCTGCATAAGCAACACAGTTCGTGTTGAACAGCTGCTTTCCTTCTCAGAGCCTGGGACTTTGGTATGTGCCAAGCAGTGGCAACCTATCTGACCAGCCCCCACGAAAACAACGGGCGCTGAATTTCTAATGAGCTTTCCTCGATGGACATTTCCTGGGTGTTTCCCTAACGCATGACTGCAGAAAACAGCACATCCTGTGTGACCCCACAGGGAGAGAATTCTTGGAAGCTTATGCCTGGTTTCCTTCAGACATCACCCTATTAGCCCTTCTCTTTGCTCCCTTCGCTTTGTACCCTTTCGCTGTCTTAAACCGTGGCCATGAGTATAACTATGTACTGAGTGATGAGAGCTCCCCCAGGGAATCACTGAGGCTGGGGGGTGGACTGGGGGCCTCCCCACAGCCACGGAGGGGCGGGGGTGGGGGGTGCCACCTGAGAGGCAGGTCCTGCAGCCTCAGGCAGGCCTCCTGGGGACCAGCGGCCTGCCAGCATCGTGACCGCAACGCCAGGAAGGTCGCTAAGCTAAAACCACCCAGCTCAGTCACTTCTGAATCCTAGTTTGCAAACCAGGAGATGATGAACATTGTTCCAGTTAGTTAATTTTGGGGGTAACTCATTTTGCATTAATGAACTAATATAGTATGTTTTTTTAAATTTTATAATATTTAAAACAATATTCTTTTTATTTGGAAAAATAAAATCAGTATCTTCCATTTTTAGGTAACAATTAAATATAAAAGATATGACTGACTTACCTGTTATTGGTTCTTCCATTCCTAACCAGAAGCAGAGTTTTTCAAAACCGACGAAGTCATTTCCACGATAGTATTAATAGACAGGCCGTTCAGAAAGCCTCTGTGATTTCCTCTCACTGCCTGTAGAGCGTCTACCACACGGTCTCTGTGCAAGAGGAAAACACATGAGCCCCTGTCCTTTCCAAGGCAGGAGTGCATTCCAAGAGTGGCTCAGTTATTGGACCGAACTGCATTTTACACACAACTTTTACCGCCAGTTGAAACAGAACTGGGGGCATCACCTGCTAGCGTCCGGGTGTAATTCGGCAAGTCTCTTCATGATCTTGGTAAAGCTACGCAGGTTCAATGTATTTGGCGGCATCAAACGAATAGGTGCATCAGGTAACAGTTTAGTAGATTCAATCTGTTTACAATTCTTCTTGACACCCTAAATAAGCATTTAAAAGTTTCCTCAAAATCAATAATCATTACATAGAGATAATCCAGCTTACTCAGTTAAAATAAATGTTAGAACTAAAATTATAATAGTAAAATTGCAACAATAATGGTAATAATTACATGCTATGAAATCAAAATTCCTAGGACATTTATTTTGATTTGGGGTTATTTATACCAAGTGTATTTCCTTGAGTTGTGCGCAGGGCCCTGCAGTAAAAAAATGGCAAACACGTCCTCGTACAGCAGTGACCACTTATCTGAAGCTATGTCTAAAGCAGCCTTCCCTAACTGGGATGCCTTATCTGAGCCACAGAACATAGGCCGACTTCGTCAACCTTCCCCCAGAGTGCACACAATCGGCCCCACGCACAGGGAGGGGTTAACCCATCACAGGCGATGGGGGCGCCTCCTGAAGGCTTCAGTCCTTACCCGACCCGACAGAACTGGCATGCACGGAAGTTACAAATATCCTGCATCTCACTAAATATGTAATGCACACACACTACAGACCAAGGACTGCACCACGTGCGTGGGGGGCGGGCGGCAGGGAAAGAAACTAGTAGAAAAACTGAACCCGCTCCATTTATGGATCTTGTAAGCCAAATGAAGAGACAAAATGAAAACAATCAATTAAATTAACCAGGCACGTAGGCTATGAACTGTATGAAACCACTGTAAATCCCATCAAAGTTCAACAAAGAGCGAGCCGAAACTTTAAAAGGCCAGATGAAAAACCAGGACAAGACATAAAATTGGTCACATCAGAATATTACACATTCTACTTATTTGCCAGTCCCTGATCTCCTTCACTAGATTTAAGCTCTACAACTGCAGATTTTGTCTGTTTTGTTCATTGCAGCTTTCCCACCCCGTGCCTAAAAGACTGTACGCAGTTGGCGTGTGGTAACGGTTTAGTAAATAAGTGTTTGGGACACACAAGTTCAAGCGACAGCTGAAACCACAGTGAGGATGCGATTTCCACAAAGAGCCGAATCACTGCCAGCCACGGGGACAGCGACTGTTTCCCGAGCACATTTGCAGAGCCAGGAACCGCTGTCAACTGTGCACAACATGTGCGAGGCAGGGACTATGCCCCCATGCTAAGAAAAGGAGGCTCAGACACCAAGTTTACGTCACTGCTCAATCGTAGAACGAGGAGGGGCAGTGCCAGATTATGAATGTGTTAATGATCACCATTTTGCCTCTTACTGTGGACAGTAAATATTTTCTAAATGAATAAATATCATGAATAAATGTTGAGGATCCAAGAAAAAGACAGGTGACAAGAAACTGCTGGAAAGATAAGAGAACGTGAGTGCGCAGTTTAACAGGCTGGCAAGGAACAGGACCAGCCCTGTCTGCACACTCTAAGGGGACAGGCCCCTCCCCGGCCCAGGGCACACTGTTCACACCACATAACCTCCCTGCTGCCCACCTGCGGCCCCCACGGGCCCGTCGCGTGAAGCAAGAGCGCATCGCCTGAACTGACGGACACCGATGTCGTGAGCCGGGGGGGGGGGGGGGGGGGGGGTCCTGTCTGAAGAACGAGGAACGGAAACGGAGCAAATGCATCGGCAAATGACAGAGGCTTAAACAGAAAAATACTGTGGAGTTAAAATTAAGCAAAATAAAGCCAAATGGAGGACAAGTCACGAGCAGCCAGAGGAAGCCCCCGTGCAGAGGGGAAGAGCGGTGTGTGCTGTGCCGTGGGGGCAAGACACCGTGTCGGCTGCATGACGGGGCGGGGGGCGGGTGGCCGCCAGCTCCCAACCTCCAGTTCAGGCCCCAGGTCACCCAACCCGGCTTCACTTCCTTCTTTCCTTCTGTGGCTCAAGGTCACATACCCGAAAATTCATCTTACACTTGAGTGTCCCTGAATGAACGAGTTTCAAAACAGGCTGATCAAGCCTCGAACAGGCCTGATGGTCAGGGAAAAGGCTGATGGGGTACAGACCAGTAAAAAGGTCACTAGTGGTAATGGAGAAAGTTAAAATTTTGGAGACTAAAATTTGGGGAAGTTTGGCAGGAAAAACATAGGACCAACCGGAATGGTAACTTCAAAAGAACGAACAGCCAAGTGCAAGCCCTGCCGGGACCAGGAAGAGCCGAGCCTGACCGCAGGGAGCGCGCCAGGCCCGCCCGTGGCGGCGCGGCGGGAGGACGGAGAGGGCACACGGAGAAGAGGCCCCTTTGTCTTCTCCAGCAAGTATTTCATTCATCCATTCATTACAAAGGGATCTGCTCGGATCTACAGGTTCAAAATAATTCCAGTAAAAACCAAAGTAGGAGTTTTTTTATTAGATATTAACAAGTGGAATTATGAAATTTATACAGGAATACAAAGAGACTAGAAGAGCCAAAACAATTTTGAAAAAGAACAAAGCTGAGGACTCATTCTACCTGCTTTCCAGCCTTACTGTACAGCTACCATCAAGATAGCGCCGTCCTGGAGGGGGGACAAAAAACCAGATCGAGGGCAGGCGACAGACAGCCTAGAAAGAGACCCACACAGATCGGGTCAGTTGATTTTTGACAGAGGTGCAGAGATAACTCAGTGGAGATGGGTTTTTCTAACAATGAGGCTGGAACAATTCCGTATGTAAAACAAAACGAGCACAAAGGAAAAAATGACCTCAAGTCACACACAAAAAGGTACTCACACCTTTGTGATCATGGGCTTCTTATTAGAGCGAGCACTAGAAGGACAAGATAAAAAGAACTGATAAACACCACTTCCTCAGAATTAAAAACTCCTGCTCTGATAAGGATACTGTTAAACGAATGAAAAGAGAAAGTACAGGCTAGGAAAAATGTTTGTAAATCACATGTCCACCTTACAAAGAATTTATGTTCAGAATAGAAAAAAAAATCTTAAAACTCAGTAACAAACAACCCAATACAAACGGTCAAAACAAGAACAGGAATGAACTGCTGATACATACACGGCGAAGTGATCTCAAATGCATCCAGGCAGTGAAAGAAGCCAGAATAATAAGGCTACTTACCGTTACATTTATGTGATATGACAGAAAAGGCAGAAACAGAAGAACAGGGAGTAGAGCAGAACATGAGAGAATGTTCTGGAATGGACGACTTTGTATCTTTACAAGTGGTTACATGTCCATAAGCATTTGTGTAAACAGGTATAAACCAAAAAAAGTGTATTTTATGTAAAATTTAAAAAAAATTGGCAGAGTGCCTATGGGACAGCCAGGCATTTTGCCCAAGTCAGATGAAAGAGGAAAATAAAGAAACCAAGACATCAGATATAAATTGCTTGTTGGGGAGGGAGAAGAGCGAGTGCAGGCACTGCACCCCACCCCCGCCCCTCACGGAGTCTAAAGAGGAGGGCCACACAGCAAACTGCTCCCGCCTTACGGTTTTAACAAGAATGCGAAGAGGGAACTGTGATAAAAAGGAGGAAGGAGCTCGGTCGGCAGAGAGAGGGAGGCTGCAAAGCGCTGGCAAAGAGCCCAGTTAGAGAGACACACATGTCCCTGCAGCAGGGTCCACAAGGGCCCACGGCTTCCCTCCGGGGAACCAGGGTGTACAGGAGCAGGTCAGGGCGGACCCACGGCGCCACGCCACGGAGGTGACCGCGCTCGTTCCCACCGCGCGATCTCTGACTGCAGTGTCATTTGCACTGCAAAGCCACTCACGGCGACGTGGCGCACACGGAGACCAGCTAAGGGGACAAGCAAGGAAACCAACCTGGTCGAAATGGAAAAACTCACTGTCTTCCTCAGATCCCTGCTGCCGTGGCCTAGTTCTGGGCACTCTAGAAATACAGGAAGCTGAGTCCATTTCTTTGTTGGTGTTTTTCTCCAAATTATTCAAACTAACTCTCCTTCCATTTTTGGAGGAAAGTGGTGATGGACATTCTGCAGGACTTTTAACGAGTCGCATGTTTACGGATTTGCCGTTTACTTCTACCCCGTTCATTTCTTTCACAGCTGACTTTGCATCATTGTTTTTTTTAAAAGCAAGAGATGCATATCTAGAATATAAAAGCAGAAAAAAGCATGTGATCTTATCAAACATCTATTTTTAATAAACTTCAACCCTAACTACAAAGAGGGTCCTTAATTGGTAGAGATTTAATGTGTGACATAAACAGCTATCATTTTTAGTGATAAAACAGTAAAGGTATTTTCCCTGAACTCTTGCCGTATTGATACTTTTGAATGTTCTTACAATGTCAAAAACCAGAAACTAGGAGCAGTCAAATGACTGTATGTAGTTGACAGAGCTAACGACCTAAAAATACAGCATAAGAGCATCGGCTGCCGCAAGGCAATGATGACAAAAACAGCAGCAGCGCAGTTTTCGGAGCGCCCGCTCCAGCCAGGCCGCCCCCCGCCCCCCTGCTCGCACAGCTGGCGGCATTTCAGGGCGGCGATGTGGAGGCACAGGGGGGTTATCCTTGCTTTACAAAGAGCCTGAGGTGCGGAAGATCAAATTTTATTCAGCAAATGGACTCAGCAAGCAGCAGCAGAGCCGGGGATGGAACCCAAGCCACGCAGCTGAGGAACCCACTCTCCTAATGACCCCGCCCGGCATGGCCGCCTGCCCGTGGCATGCGACCGTGTCCCTCCGCTGGGCAGGGTCAGCTCTCCTGGAGTGGCCCTGGCCTCCTCGCCGCCTGGCTAGTGCCTGGTACAGGGGCCCTGGCACACGGCGGACACCCGGGACGGGTGCGCTTGCTGAATTGGGAACACAAACCTGTAATCAGAAGAATCAGAAATTGCAATGTCAGAAACGTGGTATTTCTGGAAATGATACCTTAAATCAGCCTAGAAGAGGAGAAATAAGAGTTTGTGAAGGATAGAAAACAACAACAAATAAAATATACATGCCTTAAGAGATCTAAAAATGAAGTTCAAAAAACCACCCCTGGCATACCTCAGACACTGAGGGGCAGAGACCACCGACATGAACCAGGTGGCTTCTCTCTCTTTGTAAGGGTTCAGCATTCTTGGTTTCTGCTATAAAAAAACACAACATACAACAAAAGACAGCTATTATTACACTGGTATTTTTTAAAAATGTGAAAATTGTTAAGTGTTTTTATTATTATAAAGATTACAAAGTCATTAGCAGATACCAGCACTACACTGAAGACCAAGAGCCTGGAGTACAGTTTTAAGATTTTTGGGCCTTAAAAATACCATCCTAAAAAATAAAGAGGTTGGCCCTGGCTGGTGTGGCTCAGTGGCCTGCGAACCACAGGGTCGTCTGTTCCGATTCCCAGTCAGGGCGCAGGCCTGGGTTGCCCGCCAGGTCCCCAGTGGGGGATGTGCGAGAGGCAACCACACATCGTTTCTCTCCCTCTTTCTCCCTCCCTGCCCCTCTCTCTAGAAAAATAGATCAGTAACATCGAAACAGAGCAATCAATGACATAACCAAGACAGTGCCTTCCACTTGTCTCCAGTTAGAGCAGCTCCGAGACGCCGAAGGCACGCAGCACCCTAACCCACCACTACAGCTGGCGAGGGCTCTTTACATACACGCCTTTGCTGGGGAAAAGCACAACGAGAAACCCTTTCCATCGGAGAACCATCAACAGCAGGTGTGTGGTAATGGCACAGAAGAATGGGCGGGGGGTGGGGGGAGAACTTGATTCAGACTATTTTGGAAACCACAATACCAGGACTATTGATACATTTTTTCTTGTTTGACAAAATTTCAGGAGTCTTAGACTCCATTTTCAGTCTGTATACTTAAGAGAATCTCGTCTGAAATAAAAAAGGAAGTCACTGAAGTGAGATTCCTTCAAGTTACTACCAAACCCTGTAGTGGACACATGGAGGGGTCACAGTATTTGTTGAATGAATTCCTAAAGCAGCTTTTATCTGTATCTTTTAGAGCTCGTATGTAACACGGGACAGTGACAAATTGTACTTTATTGCACAGTAACAGCAGTCTGCCACGCGCCGAGCGCTTCCCACATCCCGGGCAGCATGCCGAGCGGTCTGTGCGCCTCATCCCACGCAACGCTCACAGCCACCCTGTCAGCTGCAGGGGCTGCTGTTCCCATTTTCTAGATGAGGGCCCTGAGATCTTAGGAGTTTAGACCACAAATCTAGTCAGCGGCAGTGCTGAAAAATTCAGGTAGAATCCTCCATTCTAGGCAGTAATACCTCACTTTCTTCATTAACTTACTTAACTTGCTAATTTCTTTGGTTTACAGTGTGCTGCATAGAGAAGTCTCACAGGAGGGCGAGAAGGGAGCAAGGAAGCACAGCACCGCAGGAAAGCAAGTAAGAACCGGGCCGCGCGCCGGCTGCCCATCGCCTCCCCTGTCCGCGCGTAGCACAAGGAGTCTACTGAACGCCGCACGGGCGAGCGCGGTGCCTGGCGCTCAGGACAGGCGGAGATCAAAGCACAAAAAACGTCCCTGGCCTCACTGGCTGTGTGTGAGTGTGAGATGGCAGCCAGTGTGCCAAGTAAGAGCGACACACAGTACATAGTGAGTGATATGGAGAAAAATGCAAGGAAAAAAGGACTTCCAATGATATTAGATGTCATGCCATTTATTTTGAACGGCTTATATGCATTAAGAATGGTAAAGGATATTAACAGCAGTCACTGTAGGTTGGAGGCACATCGGGTAATTTTAATTCTTATACTTTTATATTTTATTTAAAAGCATTAATAAACATTACTTATACAAGTAGGAAAAATAAAACCATTGTTATGGAGAGTAAAATAAAAACCCACCAAAGCACAAAGGAAAGAACAGAGAAGGAGCGTATCATTAGAAACGGTAGAAGAGCAACGATTACAGCACTAAAGGAAGTTCCAACCATTACAAGCAATTAAGGATCAGCTGAAGGTGAAAACATTCCGGAAACAGACTATCACAGCGAGGGAAAGCAAACAGGTTCCATCTCTCACGCCACGGAGACGGGCAGCCCTGCTGGTCTGACGGGAAATGGGGCGTGCGCGCCGCTCCCCACACACCCAGGGCCGGGGGGCCCCCCGGGGGAGGGGGCGCGCGCAGGGAAAGGGGACCCTGAGGTAGGCCGAGTGGGTGGGGCGAGGGTGCTGGGCCTCGGCCTCCTGACTAAATCTTGGATTTAAGCTTTTAGCAGACAGCTTTCTGAAAGACAAACATCTTACACTGATTCACTCTTTTAAAAAACTGAACTCCAAATGGCTAATTTTCTCATTTTCTATACTTAAAAGAGCCACAAAGAGGAATAAAACAGTAAAATGGCTTAGTCTCCCCAATAACATACAAAACAGAAAGCACTAGTTTAAGAGCGAGCCAGGGCAGGGTTTCTCAGGAAACCGTAGGAACCAACCCGGCGACTCCGGAGCCCGCCGGCCGCGCTCTGTCCGCCGCCCTTCATTCCCTGGGCCGCCGCCTCCTGCCAGGCTCTCTTCGGCATCGAACCAGTCTTCACTTACCTCTCGGCGACTTTGGTACCCTGAGAAATTGAACACAAACAGCTAGGAATGACGTATGTTTACCCCACGAAAAGTTACCGAGAAAGCTTCTCAGCATGATCGGCATAATGACAATTACTAACTGCATGTATAAATCGCAAAGTAAATATTAGCAAAACAGGAGCACCAACTACAGCCCCCCACCCCCCAGGGGGCTTCAGCAGCCTCCGAGTAACAGGGCGCTTCAGCCCGGGGGGTCTGCTTTCGTCTTCCTTTCATGAATGCCGGCTCCTAGCCTCACGTTTCTGAGTTTTAAGGCTTCCACTGTTGGAGAGACCTGCACTCCCTCTCTACACAGACTAACAGTAAACATCTTTCGAAGGGATTGAGAGGCACTGTGGCTCGTTATTTCTTTAAAGGTTGCATTTGTGAATCTTTTTGGAATGATCATAATCTTGTCTCACATCTCTCTTCACGGGGGACAAAATAAAAAATATCATACACACAAGTTACAGAGATATGGGTTGGACAGAAGAATTTTCAGATTAGAAAACATGAACCAGAAGAATCAATGTCTGTGTTCTTAACTGGCACTGTCAGATACAGTATTAGGTCACCTTAAAGATGTCAAGTACAGGTAAAAAGAACCTCTTTACCATTCATAATCAGAATGATGCCATTCAATGAAGAATATTTACTTTGATTTAATGAACGGGCACTGGAGATATTTTAAACCTTACTGCCTTCCGGCTGTGACACCAGACAATGCATTTGTACACTGACCTTTGTCATCCAGTTTCAGTTGACTGAAGCGTCCATCTATATCACCGCTTTTTAAACCGTCTTCCTTGGGTGACGTAGCACCTTGATTAGGACGACTACTGTCAGACGACGAGGACACCTGAGGATGAAAGCAATGAAGACGACGGCGGTGAGTAAGACCCGCTGCCACGCTGCTCCTCCCGGGCGGCGGCGTCCTCACTGGCATCAGCCGCACAGGGAGGCTCCTGGAGCAGGGCCAGGCTCCACGTCACAGGAGAGCGAACGGCACTGAGGCGCCCGCTGCGTTGTCCGTCACGCAGACAATGCGAGCCGGGGCTTGAGTGAGCCCAGCCTGGGTGGTGACCAGGTGCCAGCGCGCAGCACCGCCATTCAGCCAAGCTGGGTGCACGCACTAGAAGTAAGTAGTTCAGATGATTTCTGGAAGTACACATGTTAAGTATTTTTCATTTTAACATTTGACAGTCACACAGTTATTGTGGCTCATGCATACCTGATATTTATGAGAATATTACTTTCCCAAATAGCAAATAAGCTACTCTTTACACTAAGTTTATTTAAAAAGGAGATTGTTTAAAGAATGCAAAACAAGGAATAACATTATAGGTAATATATGGTTATGGAAAACTGTGAAGACAGTATGTAACTAAAATTTATACATACTACATTCCACTGGCTTTCATGCATAACCTGTTAATTTAATGACACAGGTATTGAAATATAATCGTAACTTAAAATACTGTCTTATAGCCAAAGCTTAGATAGTATAAATTATGTATATCTGCATCTCAGTTTTAAAAATAATTTATTGTTCTTCCCCAAATAAGCAGGTTATACAATTGCTACCATCACAGTGATGAATCACAACCTCTCTAGAACACGATATACCACTAACTGAACAAGTTGTTTAAACATATCACATTAGAAATTTGAGGATATCAGCATCTGTTTTTAGATCTGTTAATTCTTCGTGCATAATGGAGCTGAGTAGAACGCAATAAATAAATTGCTGAAGTAATTTGCTTTTAATCATTTGTTAATATAAAGGAATATAAAGCCATAAAGTATTTCACTTTTGGCTTTGCAATGCATCTTGTAACATAAGACTATACAAATAATACCACCTCAGAGTTAAAACTAAAGTCAGAGAGTAGAAATAAATACCACCTGTCCTACCCCACTGCCTCACTTGATAATGAAATATAACTTATGACTCTGTACCACTTCACAATCTGTAGGGTGACACACACTTCTCTGAGACCACAAGAGGTCAAGAAAGCCGACAGTCCTTCCGACCAGTTGCGCCCCTCAAGTAGCGGTGTACTAAGTAAGCCAGCTGCATGCAAAGGAGGACGTGAGGGCTTCTGCAAATTACAGTTTACTTTGTTTAAGCCGAAAAATTAAGCCAAAGATTGATACTGATGAACTACTTAAAAAACTCACTTGAGAGAGGGTCTTCTTTAGGCTTGAAAAAACATCAACATCACAGACACTTTGATTATCTAGTTCAGAATCCACTCCTGAAAAACTAAACAGATAAACATTTCACTAAAGAATGTGTCAATGTTCTAAGTAAGGACCAAACCAGAAAATTTAAAATTAACTAAATTAAGCCATTTTTAAGGTCAAATTAATTCTAAATTAGGTGAAACCATAACTTACACATGTGATTCTTGTTTCATTAGCTAGAAAGACAGAAAAAGGAAAAAAATCTTTTAGTTTAAAATATTTTATCTAAATAAAGTAAAAATTTTACTCCTGAAACATACATACATACCCTGGAAGCAAAAGTAGAGAAAGCAGATAGTAACTTCGATTCTACTGCCAAGGGGGGCAGCTCTCCCAGGGGTACGCCCTTGTTTATTTTCTCTTTCAAACTCACATATTTAACTTTTAAGTCTCCCAAAACAGATAGTAGTGCTGATCCTAAGTCCTTCTTCATGGAGTTAGTTGATAAATTCCTGTTTAAAAGTTCACAAAACTGATTTAAGCTGAAGTCATCCACTTAACACTAGTATTACATACTTAGTTCTTTCAGATCTTTAAATTTTCTTTTAAATATTTAGGGAAAGAAGATGAACTACAGAAAACACGTTTTTCTAGAAGCAGTACCAGCGACCCCCAGTATACAAAGCCAGAGAGAATGGGATGGAATGTCACGTGAAACCCTGCAACCGACTTCGTCCGCACTCGGATCTTAGAGGAAACATCGAATCTATCTTTTGACTGGATTCATCATCCCAACACACACTGTTCTCTCTCCATGAAATTCTAATGTATTACTTCTTAAAAATCTAGTTACAATCTGGATTTTGCCCTTCAAAAATGAAAATTAAAGAAATTTCTAGAACTTAAAACGAGTAATACTCCTAAGAGCACGCAGACCTAAAAGGAACACTCACCTGCCCACCCCTCCCCTGTCCCCCAGCACAAGTCTGTAGATGTCACCGCAGTGGCGATGACACATCTGGTAGTGCGCGTCCAGAAGCTGCAGCTCCGCTCTGAGGGCTCTCTGCGCCGCCCTCCGGCAGCACTCCGGCGGCGAGCTCTCCCCCGCCCGCGCGGGAAGCTGGGGCTCCCTGTACGAGGAGAAGATACGCCAGGTGAGGCGCAAACACTTCCGTGTTGATGGCGCGCCTCCGGAAACACACGTTACGTTTCTCACACCTCCTTGTCAAGTCTGAATCGCTCTCTCCTGAACGTGAAGGGCCACAGGAGCACGTTACAGTCACCGAAACAAGCATGTTAAGAGTCAAAGCTAAGATATGCCTTTCAGACCTCAAGGAAGTAAACCGTCCTCGAATTCCTACTTTTTATGAAGAAGGGATTCCAAGTAAACTACTGACTTTATCCAGAATTGGTAGGTTTTCAACCTAAATCAAGCTCTGGCCAACGTTTTTTAAAGTTATGAGCATTCTGGATAGGAACTGTTCTTAAATATGTTGGGTTTTTTAAAAACGGAAAATAGACATAAGACATTTTTCTTAATAATTAAGGCTCATTTTTATAAGCAAATATTTTGCTGTGTCATTTTATTAAAAAGCCCCAAATCTCTACATTTTCTGAATGTTAACAGTTCTTGCTAGCAGCTTCCACTGCTGGTTGTTCTCAATACTCCTGTGTCAGGAAACCAACCCTTTTAACTTCATAGGACTGAACACCGAATTAACCTCAGAAGAATGAAGGAAAAAAGTACATGACGGAAGAGCACGGAAACTAACGTGGCTTCTCAGAAACGTCCCCTTTTTACCCCCCCCCCCTTACTCACTCTCCTTTGTGTTGTGAATTATAAGGATATCTAATAAACGCCAAGTAAATTACACAATAAATTAAAATCAAGATTAAAGTATCCCAGGGAAAGTAGCTATTTACATCTTCATATATATGACATTTCCCAAAAGTACTATTTTGTTTTGGTCTACAGGGGATCAAATGAAAGAAAATTGAGTAACTAAACCACTACGGATTTGGGTTAAATAAAGATGCCATGAGTTTCTAAAGCAATTATTGGGACTGAAATTTCAATTAAGTGAAAAAGCTTTAACATTCTATACTGGCCTAATACTTTTTGATTTAAAGGCAAATGGCTGAAGCAGATGCTCTCTTAGGGTTCCTTTAGGCTACATTCCATGTGGTTAAGTACCCTACAAAACGCAAATTACTATCCTGATTCCCCCCCAAGTGTATCTGCAAGTTTATGCATCTAACTTACCTTTCGGGATGTTTCGTCAGGTCTGCAATAGCAAGTGTTTTCCTTAGTTCCAGGGAATCCTGCAAACGTGATTAAAATCTGATTAGAAATACATGACAAACATCACATGTTGAATCTGGCTTCCAAACTGGTGGAACACAGCAGCTGATTACTTGTGGACTTGGTGGCAATAGCAGCCACCAGAAAAGGGCTGGGCTGGCAGCAAGCTATTCGCCTTTTCCCTCTGCTTCGCATTTGCTCACAAATGTCTCGGGAAGCCCCCGCTAAAATTCTATTTACAGTGGTATACACTGCCTCTTTATAAAGTCAAATAAAATTCTGTTATTAATCATATTGGTTTTACCTTACTTAGAAAGTTTCCATTAGGTTTTAAACTGTCGACCGAGGAGGATTTTCCCCGAGATCCTTTTGACACAGCTGTCTGAGTATCTTCAACATCGCGACAGTATGACAAGTCTGTGTTGCAAGCCACACTTCTCTGTTTCCCCCTTTGACATTCACCAGGGCGTTTTTTATTCATCATTGTGATCTCTGTGTTACTGGACGTAGACACCAGGGAAGACCTTGCGCTAGTCGCTCGGCTCGTTGTGAAACAAGCCCTGAAATCGGAGCTAACGTCCACTGTCTGGTTAACTGTGACTGTGCACTTGGCAGCCACTGTCGCAGATTCGGGACGTGTTCCTTCCATGCTGTGAGGGAACATCTGATGTGCGGCACTGCCGCTAGCAACTTTTAGGGAGCTATCTTCTTTTATTGCCTGATTATCTTTGACTCCAGTCCTTGGCGGAGTAATGGAAATATCTAGGGCTGAGGTAGGGGTGTTCGGCAGGCTTTTATGAAGCGAATGTTCACAGGCAGAAAGCACTGACTCATCACAAACACAAGGAGAGGAAGCCTGACTCTCTTTACAGTGTTGTAGTAAGGCTTCTAAAGCTTTGTCCTGTGGTAATGTGCTAGGATTTTCAAGGTGTTGCAAAGTTTTGTTCTCAACAGTTTTATTTCCACAAAAATCTTTAGCTTCACTTACTTCAGGTTTAATTTTGCCAGTGTAAGTTTCAGTTTTTAATGCTTGTTGAGGGTTTAAGAAACTACTGTTAGATTGAGATTCCCAGTTTTTAGGAGGACTTTTCCCCAGCACAGTTTCATCGAATGCAGTATGGTACATTAAACTAGTCTCCTGTTCCTCACACCTTTCATGCTTTGGTGTGTGACACTGCCTTAGCGTAACAGAATTCTGAAATGGGGAGATGTAAGGTGAATCTCCCTGTCCATAACCATCAACTGAATCTAAAGAGATGCTAGAACTACTTTCCAATTTAATATGGTGAACTTCTGGGCTACCGGAACATTGAACTTCATAACTTGAATTTCTTAATCTAACCACCTCCAGATTCGATGTATGTGATGCTTTTGCTCGGTCGAGAGAGAAATGGTCGCTCAGATATTCATGTTCCTCCTCACTGTGATATTCCTGCTGCGAGTCTTCGTCTGTATCATGCTTCTGCACATCCTCAGTAGTTTCTTTATAATCGTCACCTGAAATCTTGTAGCTTCTTTCTAAGCCAATAATCTTATCATGTTCCAAAATATCAAAAAATACCTCCTCTCTTTTCCGCATTTCAGAAGCTAATTCTGAATTTAAAAGAACAGGACTTTCATTCTTTAGTTTTGACTCTGAATAATGGATAAAGTATGTTTCATTCAAGAAAACATAGTCGTTACTGTCTTCAAACACCCTTGACTGAGAGCGAGTACTCTCTCTGTCAGGATCTGGGCTTGTAGTAAAAGATGGCTCCAGTAAATCTGTTTCGTCAGTACTGCTGATTTCTTTGCCATTAGCAATTTGTTGTGCCAGGGAGTCCCAGTCGTCACCATGAAAAGTCAATTTGGCTTCATTACGACCATTGGAAGATGACAAGTTTCCTTTCTTAGCATTAGAAGGCTCATCTGATTTAAAAAAAGAAAGGATAAAATGTTAACAGCAGGGACATTACAGAATCTAAAAGGTAAAAGAGAACTGAGACGCAATCTGGTCCAAGTCCTTCCCAATGCAGAAGTACTTGTACGTTATCCATGGAACATCTCTTGTGGTTCCGTGAATGACTCAACTGTCTCCCTCAAAATTCCTATGTTGAAGCCTGAACCCCCAATGTGACAGTAACTGGAGATGGGGCCTCTGAGGGGTAGTCAGGGCTGGATGAGGTCACGGGGATGGGTTCCTCCGGAGGGGTCAGTGACAGAGAGCTGGCGCCCCCTCCCTCTTTCTACCGTGTGAGGAGGACACTGCGGGAAGGTGGCCATCTGCTGGCCAGGAGGAGAGCCCCTACCCAAACCTGGCCAGAGACACTCGGATTCGGACTTCCAGTCTCTTGAACTCTGGAAAAACAGGGTCTATTGTTTAGGCCAGGAGGTCTGTTTTTGTTATGGTGGCCCCAGGCGAGAGCAGCCAGGATTCTTCCTGAGCTCCTGCAGCGGCAAGGAGCGCCGGGTGCCTGCTGGCTCCAGCGGCAGGCCCGGCGGAGGCAGCCACGGCCTGGGCGGTGCACCCGAACACTGGCGGCCTGTGTGAGGCTCGCAAGCAAGAAAAGCAGGCACAAATGCCACATGGGCATCGAACGCTGGCAGAGCTGCGCTGATGAGCAGGCAAATGCGCGAGAAGAAAGGAGAAGACAATTTCAGAGTAAACTTTGTTTAAAAAATGTTATGAGACCCACCAGTTGACTTAGGCAAATCAAAGAGCACCTATAAAGTTAGCTGTGTGAAAGAACCTGGCATTTTCAGGACACTGTGGGCCCCTTTGTCCGGAGTGAAACAGCTTTATGGGAATGATCAAAGCCGTGAACAGAGAAAAGGCCTTTCATGATGTGCTAGGGAGTCAGGCTCTTATTCTGAGGCTCCACGGACTAGGCAGCCACATGATGGAACTGGGCTTAGATGCCTTGAGCAGCCTAAGAATGAAGGCATGAAGCGGGGCTGGAGGTGGAGAGACCAAGAGTGCAGATGCGGGACCGAGGGAGGCCCTGGTTTACAGGCCCCACAACTGACAAGGCTTGGTGGCTGATTAGGAATGGCAGATCCCGGAGGCACAGATCAGCAGCTATGTCTGAAAGCCACTAATATTTGTAAATTCATATAAATATATTACATACCATATATATTTTTAACACACACATTCCCCCCCACCCCCACCCCAAGACCACAGTCAGAAACAAGTTTCATATCAAGATCCAGCAGACAGGCATGGTCCAGGTAGCTCAGTTGGTGAGAGTGTCATCCTAATAGGCCAAAGTTGTAGGTTCGATCCTCAGTCACGGCACATATAAGAATCAACCAATGAATGCATAAATAAGTGCAACAACAAATCGATGCTTCTCTCTCTAAAATAAGTAAAGATCCAGTAAACAATACATATGTGTGTGAATAAGTGAAACAAATTTTACAAGACTAACTACTCCAACTATGTCCACGGTATTCTGGTATTTTCTGGTCTATTTCATTTTGTTAAAGAAAAGTTGATTGCAATAGGTGAAACTGGTTTCATGACTCACCGACTGGCTACCGCCTGCTGAAACACTGCTCTAACCTAGTGAGGAGGTTTACAACCTGCTGTGACCGATGGGTGGGAATACCTGGAGCTAGAGAACAGGGGCTTCTTGAAGAAGAGCTGATTTAGAAGACAAAGGGGAAGAGCAAAGGGGGAAGGATAGAGGAGAACGAGTCATTTTCAGGCCTGTGGAGTTTGAGGTTAGCAATAAATCACCCGGATTCAAACGTCTAATACAGCAATTTTCAACCAGTGCGCCGCAAGAATTTTTAGAACATGAAATACCTGTGTAGTCAGGGGCACTGACCTCCTTTCCCTTAAATTTTCAAATAAAAAAAATGACAACAGCCAACACAGTATTAAACTGTCTTGAACCATAAATCACGTAATAGAGTTGCATCTTATTGGTCACATCTCAAAATAAGGTTGTGTCTGATTGGTTAATTCTTGGTACCAGAAATCCTCATATGTGTGTATAGGTACCTGAATTTTTAAAGACACTTTGGAACACAAAGGTTAGGTAATTACTATTATTATGATTGTGTAAATCAATAAAAATTGTACCTATATTTTGTTAGCTTGACAAAAATACTTTTTTTTTTTTTTCTTGGTGTACTGCAACATTTTAGTAATTAGTTTGTGTGCTGTGCCATGGGATGAACAAGGTTGACAATAGCTGGTCTAATAAGCTGTTATAAATATGGGGTTGGAGCTATGGGGTTGAAACATTAGCTTCAATTATAAACTCATGGGTAGACTATTTTCTTAGAGGTTTATGTAAGTGTTCACTTTACATTCTGGATACTAATTCTTTATTTTTCTTATTTATAATAAAGTGACTTTTTCCTAGTTTACTGCTTGTCATACTAGGGTTTTTTGTACTAGTTTATTGCTTATCATACTAGGGTTTTTTGTACTAATCTAGGGTTTTAAGGTTATTCAGGTAAATGGATCAGTGTTCCTTCTCCGATTTCTAGGTTTTGTCTCTGGCCTTTCCCATCACGTGATTACGCATTGTTCTTCTACAGCTTATTCTGTGTATGTGCCACGCAGCCTTTCTACACTATGTGGGTTTTTTCCCCTCCCCAGTGTAAGGCAGGAATCTAGCTTATTTACCCCCAAAAATGTATGGTTAATTATATTAATTCCATTTACTGAATAATCCATTACCTTCCTTCTGACTTAAAATAGCATTAAATTTTTTTTCTAAAGCCGTCTTAATAGTTAAAACCACACTTGCTCATAAGCACACAAATTTTAGTCATCTTGCTTTTTCTGCTCTTGTTATCTCTTACCTTTTTCTTCTACCATTACTACAGAAAAAGAAATTTCGGATTTGTGTGAAGACAAATTTACATTCAACTTGGGCACAGAGGTCAGCCTGCCTCTTTCCACTTAAGACTGCAGCTACCAGCAGTTCCCACAGGCGCGGCTGGACAGAGGCGCTCTCTCCCGGCGCCTTTTCTTCCCGAAATCTTCCATCCCTGAGGGTTCCTGTGCAGGCTGCCCATGTTCACCCAAAGCCACCTGAGTGAGCCTGCCAAGCCCCAACTTGCCGAATCTTACTACAGTACTGGGAGGAGAGCTTAAAAAGCAGCAGCACTGGAGGGAGAACTGTCTAGTCCAGTTACATTCGGCACCTCTCTCCTCCCAGAGTAAAGCCGCAGGCCCGCCCCCTTACCTGTCTGGGTGTTCCCCCCAGTACGGTGGCCGCCTTCATCGGAAGCTGCTATCTCCCCCGCCGCAGTGGCCTGCATCTCTCAAGGATGTACACTCTAGAAGAGGCACAAATATTGACCTATTATAATATTCAGAAGTACATTAAAACATTAGAAAAATAAGAATTTGACAAAGTGGTCATTGCAAAGATTCTAAATGAAGGCTAATAAACAAAACTAGTAAAAGACTGGAATAACTTTTATAAGCATGAATTGACAACTACATACGAATATACTATAGTATTTGAACACCCAAAACATATCCTTTTGAAATTTCCAAGGAACATTAGAGAAAAAAAAATGTATTCAGCCACCAAAAAATTATACTCCAAAAAAAATGTTTCCAAAACAAACTATAGACTTATTAAAAGCCAATGACATGGTATATTCATTCATATAACCTTTCAGCGATGGAAAGGAACCTACTGCTGATGCACGTAACCTTGTCGGTTCATCTCAGAAACAGAAAGCCAGGCAAGAGACGACATTATTTTATGATTCCATGTAAATGAATGTGCAGACAAAGCCCACTTACAGAGACAGAAAGTGGGTGAGCGGCTGCCCAGGGCAGGGTACGGGAAGGGATAACTATAAAGGGGCACAGGAGAGCTCACTGGCGGCATTAACATGTTCTAAACATCTGAAGCGATGGCTGCACCACTTGATAAAGTTCCTAAAATTAAACTATATCTAATAAAGGTGTTTAATAAATCCAAGACAATGGCTCTCTGAGCCCAGCTGCCACACAAGCAAGCCTGAGCTGGTTACGTGAGCGGGGCCTGCAGCTCTCAGCGGCCACCGCCAAGGTTTTGCCAGGGTAGCTGGTGGCGCACAGGGTCAGGGACACCCTGCTCACGGGGCAGGCAGAGGCCACAGCTGGGGCAGGGAGGCATCACGGGGCGCAGTGTTTGCTGGGCGGGCAGACGCCCTTCCCGGACCCGCTCTACGGCCTTCCGGGTCTCTCCCCCGAGGGTGCCCAGGCAGAGCCCGTGGGAAGCCGCTGCTCCAGGGCAGGGACAATGGGAGAGAGGATGAGGTCGGGGGCATGTGATGAAGGAGGAAAGGGAAGCCACCAGGGGCTCTGCGCCCACATCTGTGCTCACAGTAGAGGGGGATGAGGAGGCAGAAGGGTCTGGAACCTGCCTTCCTCCTCTGCGTGCCCAGAGCCAGCCTTGGGGCAAGCAGGTGACGGAGGGGTCAAGGGACCCCACCCCGAGGCCACAGCACTCAGAGCCCCAGCCCACTGCCCCAGCTCCGTGACCCCTGCCAGCAGGCTCCCTCTTGTGTGTCTTGCCAGCCAGGGAGCCGTCTTCCTTTGGGAGGTGGGTGGCCCTCAGCGACAGCCCTTCCTTTTAGTGACATTCCTGCCCCACGAAGGGCTCTGAGCACAATCCCCAGAGGGTCTGTGGCCGCCCACTGTTGAGCTGGGGGGCTTGGAACAAATCCCACTTACTTTCTCAAAAAGCTCCCACAGGAATGTTCTGCAGAGGCCAACGGCCCAGGTACCCTTGCAGTGGGGGGTCGCCGGGAGCCGGGGAGAAGGGTGCAGGTCCCCACGTGTCCACGCCCGAGGCCATCGGCATCACTCTCTCTCCAGTTCTCTGTGTCGCTCTGGCCCAGGGGGAGGCCACAGCCGCTTCCCCAGACACAGCGGTCACTGGGCACTGGGCCTGCTGGGGTGTCTTTTCTCATCGCGTGCCTTTAACAGCCCTGTTTTGCACCCTGCTCAGTTTGGGGATGAAACCAGGCCTCTGTGTCAGAATGTGAAAGGCCAGAAGCAGGCGACACTAAGCAGATCCCGGCGTGAGTGGGAGGAAGGGCGGACGGGTGGGACGCGTCCTGGTGACGGGGGCTCCCACACAGCGCCCCCCCCCCCCGCCTCGGATGCACTGCTTTGACCTCGTTCCCAACAGCACAGAACCCCAGGGCTGCCCAGGCTGCGGAGATGGGACTTCGCTGGACATTCATGGATCAACAGACTTAATATTCTTAAAATCTATTATCTATAAATTGAGCTCTAGATTCAACACAATTTCAATTCAAATTACAAAAAAATTCTTTGCTAGAAATAGACAAGTTGACTGTAATTTACAATCTACAAAAAGTTGGATCACGTATATTTAAAGATTTATAAAGTTATAGTATTGCTAGTGTAGCATGTCAGACTGATGGGAGTCCCGAAGGAGAGCCACTTGATTTTTGGGAAAGGCACCAATTCAATTCAACGTGGCAAGGAAGGCGCAGTAAGGCATGCTCAACACATGATGCTGCCAAAGCTAGATTTCTGCAAGGGGGGAACAACCTAGACTCCTACCTCGTATCATACATAACCACAAAACTGAGATGGATCGTATTTCTGAATGGGAAAACCAAACCTACAAAGTTTCTCAAAGAAAATATAAGAAAATAGTCATGACTTTGAAGTAAGCAAAGATTTCTGAGATAGAATAAAAAAGGTGTTAAAAGTTCTTAAATTGAACTTAAGCAAAATTTAAAAACCTTTGCTCATCAAAAGACACTACTGAAAAGTGAAAGGAGAAGCCAAACATCGGAAGAAAATATTCACAATTTATATATCCAACAGAAAACTCTTATCCAGATTATGTAAAGTGCTCACACAAATAGAACTTTAAAGAAAATAATCTGATAAAATACTTGGACATTAACTTCCTCACACATAACACAAAGCATATGAAGCACTCTTCTGTGGATGAGAAAGTGCTCAACATTATTAGTCATCAGGGAAATGCAAATTTGAGTCGCCCAGATACCACTTCACACTCATTAAAATGGCAAAAAAACCAAACAAAAAACTAATAACACCAAATATTGTGAGGATGTAAACAAAGTGAAACTCATACTTTGCTAGAGGAAATACAAACTGGTAGCATTTTAGAAAACTGTATGGAAGTTTCTGATGATATTAAACATATACCTACTCTATTACCAAAGCACTACATGCCAGTTTCAGGAATGAATCCCCTCCTCTAGGGAATAATTCTGCAACATTACTCAATAACAACCGCCCCTCATTTTGCTACGGCAGGTGCTCAGCACACCAAGGAGGTCAGTCTCTGCCCTTGGGAACGACGCTGGGCTCATAACAAGCAATTTCCGAAAGTGGGGTGCACAGGAGGATGTGGGAGCACATAAATCTTATTACAGGGCACCTTTTCTGAAACTTGTGGGATACTCCTTAAAAACAGTTTCCACAGCCTAAATTGCGGTCCACAAACAATCCCCCAGGAAACTCTACAACCTGGGATTCAGGGAAATGTAAAAGGACCTGCACTAGCCTTCGGGTTAGGGAAGGCCTTCCTGGGGAAGGACCACTTAGTCTGGGCTCTTCAAAGAGAAGCCAGTAGCAGTGAGCCACAGCAGCACTGATTGCTAAATCAATTTAGTAATGACCTTGACCTAAAGGACAGTGCATACACACAAAAAAGGCTTTCCAGTATATTTCAAAAGTAATTAAACTTGGAATCTCACATTAAATAAACAGTAACATACCACGGTTGTATCGATAAAGGTAAAGTTTGCAAAGAAAGTGACATTTAAATTCAATCACGGCACCTAAGCTAAACCACACATAGTGGTTTACAGACTAAGAAGGAGCAGGGAAGAGAACGCGTATGCACGGCCCCCAGGTAAAGGAAGGGTTAGGACAGCAAACTGTAACTAGACCTCATGTACAAAAGTGAACCCATTATCACTGAGGGCACACTCACTGAAATTAGGAACCTAGGAGAAGGAATACTTTTCTGTCTTTTATATTATTTTGCTTTTGTGTGGGGAGCAACAGAGATGAATTCACCGCCCCTCCCCCCAGCCATTGTTAGTATAATGAGAACAGTCTGCACAGCATCCTTGCAGCCAAGGAGGGAGGCCTGGAACGGGCCTGTGTGAACTCTGACAACTGTCCTGTCCTAGTCACTGGGGGCGGTGGACGCTGATGAGCACCTGCACTGTGTGGCCATCGCAGTCAAAATGACTGAGTAGAGCAACGAATCTGCATCAAATTTCGAATATTTCTCCACATAAAATATCTGGATGACTCAGAGGCTGCAGCTCGGGGCACCTGGTGATTGGCAGCTTCATCACAACGCACCTGCTCAAACATCCCATCTGGTGCAGAGTCTTTGGGTGAAACATCAGGCGACTCAGCCCCCCTACGGCCCAGATTTGGCGCCCTGAGACTTCTGGGTTTTCTCAAAACTAAAATCACCTTTGAAAGGAAAGAGATTTCAGACTGTTGGTGAGATTCAAGAAAATACAACGGGGCAGCTGATGGCGACTGGAAGACCTGTGTGAGGTCCCACGGTGCCCACCCTGGAGGGGAGTTAGGCATCACTGTCCTATGTACAGTGCTTCGTGTATCTTCTTCAATCAATGTCTCTACTTTCCATGTTACGTGGCTGGGAAGCTTCTGGACAGGCGGTGCGTGTGTGTTTATTGTATCCTCACTGGAGGACACGCTCACTGACCTTAGAGAGAGAGGGGACTGGCAGGAGAGAGAGAAACATCAGTGCAGGAGAAGCAGGGACTGGCTGCCTGGGAGACACGCCCAGACCTGGAACCAAGCAGAACCTTTCCGTTCAGGAGACGCCACTCCAACTCGCTAAGCCACGCTGGCTAGGGCGGCGAGTTCACTTCTCTGTAATATGTTCCAAGTGCCTGTAAGACGTGCATGTTGAAATATACAGTTGTGAACCGTAGGAATTACCTGCACTGGAAGTGTTCAACTTCCCACCTCTTGTTTCAAAAATTCCTTACAGCTAATAATGAAAAAAAATTGGCCTAACAATATTTGTATTGCCACGCGACTAGCCTCTGGGGTTCCAAGCCTTCTGAAGATTTGATAAGTCACACAGTTCCTTCTCTCAGAAAATGCACACGCACATAATTTAAAGGATTTACGGATTTCTCTACTACACGAGCCTTTCTGAAGTTAGTTAAGTCCTGGCTTAAGAGATTTTGGGTCAGTAATGACCCTACTCTAGGAATGTCAGGAAAATATTTAAGGTAAAGACTTATGAAGA